TACAGCCAATTAAAAAAAAAAATCATAGAAAGTGGAGATGGAAAAATCTTGCTAGCTTATCCAGTGCATCTTCTCACATTCTAGCCCAGCCCAGTTCCTGCAAGATTCTTGCCTACAGTACATTTTCCAGTGCATTATCCAGTCTGGTTGTGTATGATTTAAGCAATGGGCATCCTTTACTTCCCATGAGAAACTGTTCGGCAGACAGCTACTTTTCACTGTTTGGAAGAGGTTTCTGAAGTTTTCTTTCCATTCTGCCTGACCTAATTTCACTCAGCTCTGCCCATGGTAACACGCTAGCCAAATGTTCTCCTTCCTTCATGCTTGCCCTGTTCAGGTGATGGCAAATAATTCTTGTTCAGTCAAGCTGTTTAGCCACGATGCTTAATACTTAGTTGTAAAGCTCAGCAATTATAATCCTTGGCTACCTGGGAAAGGCTAATGTTGAGATTAGCATGTTAATGGGTGCGCAGAACATAGAAGACATTGCTAGTAGCATTGCGTCTTTATTATAATAGTCACTTGACACCTCCCATCACAAGGTTTGGCTTTGGTTGCTTTTGACTTTGCCAAATTTGGAGCCAACATCTTCTAGCTCACGTCTGCTTCAGCTGTTTTATAGGTTTCTTTTTGGTTTTGTTTTTAATTTCAGTTAAAACCACTTAGCTGTTTCTGAGAACAAGGATGGCAGGGGAATATTCTGTTTTATCCACATTTAAAAAAAAATCTTGATGACTTTTTCTTTTAAAAAAACACCCTCTGAGCAGTGTATTGCTTTAAAATAAATCACAATTTTTCTGTCAGGAACACGCTTTTTGTCATCTATGACAAAATCTCCGAATTTGGCTAAATAATGAGTCTTTGAGTAATTGCAGCTTGAGCCTGCTCAGAAAAAAAATAATGGGGGCCAGGAAGGACACGTGTTTATTATTACTTTTTTTAACTGTGGGACTGATGGAAATAACACATGATTTTGTGATTAAGGCCCAGGTTAAAATGCACTTGCACAAAGGGTCCTGGCTGTGGCTCCAGGGTCACCTTGCTCTGGCCTCCCCTGGGCCAGGATGGTGTCACCGCTCCGGGACCCTTCCTGCCTGTGGATGCGGTCACCCTGGTGAAGAGATGTCCCTGCTGTGTGCGTAGGACTGGGGTTGCCCAGGCAAGCGGAAACCTGGCTGCAAGGAAACAGGAGAGAGGAGGAGGAGAGACAAAAGAAAAGGAAAAAAAAAAAAAAAAAAAAGCAATGGAGAAAGAAAAGCCAACAAAAAAAAAAAAAGCAGAAGAGAGGGAGGACGCCCAAGTTCTCTGCCGGCAGTCTCCAAAATATTTCTCGTTTCCGTTTCCACTGATGGGGCCCTCCCTTCCCCCAGGACATGTAGGGAAGCCCGGGCACTCCGCAGATCCCCGGCCACCAACACACGTGCTGCATCCACCCCGCGCCCACTGCGGCAACACTGCCTGCTCCCAACGTCGCCTGCTCCAGCTGGGCCTCCAAGGCATGGGGCCAAGGCCCCAAATTTGTGTCACCACTGCCCTGTCCTGACCTGTCCCCTCCCCATCACACAGGTAGCCCTGCTGTACTGCCTGCTGCAGTGCGCATGGCCATGGGGAGGCATGTGCACCAGGATGGCACTCGTCAGCAGGGCCTTCCATGAAGCCACAGCTCCAAAATGCCATGAAGGAATGGAAAGGAATCCAAAATCCTCATTAAATCTGGGGAAAAAAGGAGATGCCCTCAATCCTGGATAATTACCAGTACATCCAGAAAGATAAAAGGTGCAATTATAATACCTAGCACCATTGTTTTCAAAGCACCCACTGTAACATAAGCCTTCTGCTCAGCACTGCAAAGAAAGCTAGTTTTATTATTCCCTTTAGACCAGCGTATTAGACCTTGGCTCCTCTGACCTGTGCTCGCTATTGTCTCTGCTCTGTCAGGGAAGCCAGCCTGAGGAATCCTTTTGTGCCTGCTGGCCACCCTGGTTGCTGTACCTCTTGCCATGCTACCTCTTTATTCATGAATCCTTCCCCTCCCAGTTTTCTCCCCCCCCCTTTTTTTTTCTTGCCAAAGCAAGGAGTTTTTAATAGCTAAAGAACGAAAACACCTCCCACGCCTCACCTCAAAAAAGCTAACTCTCCGTCTTACTCACTCTTTTTGATTTCCAAACCTCTCCTGCTAGCTTAGAGTCTTCCTTTGAAGAACTGGTTCCCCAAACACTCACGCGTGAGTATAACTTCAGTAAACCGTGTAGTTCCAATGGCCTCAAGGGGACAATCCACGTGAGTAAATAATTCAGATGTGGGATGGAGACCATGGCATTTAGCAGAGATGGAAAAGTTTTCTGTTGGATATTGTGATTTGGTTGGAATCAAGATATTACAAGGGAATATACTGACTTCAATCCAGGATGAAGTAGTATCTGCCTTGCAGAAAATTTTAACAGTAGGCTTGAAAATCTTCAGGGTGCCTAGGTCGTATTGATGCAGGTGGATTGACTACATAAACTTTGGAGGTTTCCTCTAGCTCTGCTTATTCTGATTCACCACAGTGAAATGGAGGAAAAGATAAATTGAAGCAAAGAACAATTGCTTACTCAATCCATACATGAAAATGAAGTGCAGTGCGGTTCAACTGTACTGTATCAATCTATTTTTTTTTTTGCTTTAGAACTGATATTAAACATTTCTTTGACTCCCGGATCACCTGCATGTGTGATGTACTCTTTGCACAGATTAATTTTAGATCCTCGAGTTTTGTCATTATCGAAACAAAGTGTCTCTTTCCCACCGGTTTTGTGCTGATTCCAACATCAACAAGGATCAGCTGTGCTGTAGATTTGTGTCTGTGGGAATGACTATGAAGACCCAACTTTATAGTGCAGGGAAACAAGAACTATTTTTGAACTATCAGTCCAGCCACGGTAATGTGGAGTTCAGCACAGCTTACCCTGCTCTGTTTCTGGGCTGGGGTTTGTACCCTGCACTGTGCTCTGGATTGCTGGAGTGAAATTGTTAGCAACACCCAATTAAAACAAGCACTGATTGTTTACTCCCCATCACTGCCACTGCTTTGACTGCAGTGTAAACGCACCACTAATGGCTTGGCCGATGGGAGGGGAAAATTACGTGTCAGAGCCAAGTACAGAACCAGGAATTTGGGCCATCAGCCAGCTTGTTAGATCACAGTGTGTGCCTCTAATGAAATGCCTTGATTTGTGACTCTTACAATAACATTTTTAGGAAATCATTTCACTGGCTATTTTTTTTGTGTGTGGTGGAGCAGCCTGGTGAGGTTGGAAAACTAAAGCAGACACTGTGCTTACAAATCAAGAGTGAAATTTTAAGGATGAGGCTAATTAACCATTGGAATAACTTTCCTAAGGATGCGATGGGTTTTCCACCATATCCTGTTGCACAGTCTATACCAGTTAGCTCTCTGAAATAAGTGCATAGCTTCAGCAGGAGCTCTGTGTATTGCTAGAAAAGATTGTCTGAAGTTCTTGGGGTTCTGTTACACCAGAGATGAGACTGTGTTGTTGTAATGGTCCCTCTTGACAATAAAAAACCCCATGAGCCTGTGACAGCCATTGAGTCTGAGTGTTTGTGATTCTGTGGAGTAACAGACTGAGATCCCATAAGTGGTAGATTTAAAACTGGCAACAATTTTCATAAAGGAGAGACTACCACATTACAAAGATGCATTCTGCAGAAGTGGACACCCTGCCAATCCTGCGGCTGATATAATATACTGTGATGAATTAGAGAGCTCAGAAAGAATTAACCAATCAATAAAATGACAGACTTGGTACATTTCAAAGCATCTGGTCAGATCTCATGGAATTTCTTGGCTGCTACACGTTCAGTTAGAAAGAAATAGTGGGGACTGTCCATGATCACCTTGTAGTATTTCACTGGATGCCTCAGAAGAGCAGATGGGGATAGTGAGCAGTGGATAAGGTAAGCCTTTATCTACTTGGGGGTTTGTATGGACCCTTTCCTGGACTGACTCCTCTTTAGTATTCTTATAGATCTATATAAAAAGTTTTATTTTTCTTGTTTGCTTACAGTTTATGGTTGGCTAAATGTCATAAATAACATTTTTTTCTGTGTGCTCAGGTGAACACCTTCTAGAGTCACCAGAGTTTAAGTACTCTGTGAAAAGCAACCCTCTTTAAATAGTCTTATGTTGCCTATCTAGAAATTGAGGCATCTAGAATCTCTAGTGGGTCCTCAAAGTCTGTGTTGCTGCATTTTATTTTTTTCTTTTCATGTCTTCTTTTTATGTGGTTTTGAATGGTCCGTAACCATAAAGATTAGGAAAAAAATCCAGCCAAGTAAGATTTATTTTGAGAAAATAAATAAGAAAGAAAAAAAAGTAGTTAGGTCCAAACTGATGGCAAGCTTGTTTGTTCATCTTTAAGATGCATTTATTTATTTCAATTCAATCTTTATTTCTGTTCTGCCACAGACTTGATGTCTAGCAATGTAAGCTGTTCATGTTTAAAAACAGAATTCACCTTTAAATGTGCTTAGACTGGAAAAAATATGCCCGGTGAGGTCATTTGCAGAGCAAGAGTTAATGCATCATGCAAACAGCTAAATAAAGGTTACAATCTGAGTGGAATTATTCAGGGCTCAGGGAAAAATCTGGCATTTGCAGTCTGTCACTGGCTTTGAGAAGTCTGGGTCTCTCAGTGTCCCTGCCACCCGGAGGTATCCTGCTTTCTGTGTGGCAGTAAGGGAGGAGACTGCAGCACTGGACAGTTTTCCTGTAAAACCGGCAAAAACAGGAGCGGTGGGAAGTGTCATGTGTGAGGAATGTGTGGAATGAGGGGTGAGTATGAGCCCGTCTTTGTCCAGGTTTCAGAGAGCCAGCCGAGTTACAGGTGTAAATAGCTGCTCTTCCTCCTCTCTTTTCCTCTTCAGGACAGCTGAAGAGCCAATGTCAGGACAGCGTATGATCCCTGTTATCCCTGGGTAGGAGAGCTGCATGGAGGGCTATGAAGAGCTGTGTGCCTCTTGAGACCTGCCAGTTAAGTACTGCAATTTTTGGGCCCTATCAACTCGTACGGGCTCCTTACCCTTCTTTTCCACCAACCCCCTTGGGACTTGAGGGTGTTGCTTTGGGGCAGGATACACCCTAAGTACGTATGTGATACAGCCAGAATAAAAGTGCATCACTTGAAAACGCCCGGGCTTTTTTAGAGTTGGCAATCTCCACATAGGTGGTGTGCTGAGACTGTGTTTTGCATTTCGTTTCCTTATTTTGTTTCTATAAGCCAAGTGCTTGGCTGATTGCGCACGAAATCAACTGCTATGGGCATTCACTTCAATGGGCAAATTTTAAACGAGTCACCAGGGACTGGCTGCTGCTGAGTTCAAAGAGAAAGAGACATCCAAAACCTCTAACCAGGCCAAGTTATGGTGGGAAATATCAGATACAAAGAGGAGAAAACTGGAAGGCACCGTAGGGTGAAAGACAGATACAGCTTGCTTTTCCTGGCCATAATTGGTCAACTTAAGGCGAGGTTGGAATGGACTTTATTTTTAAAAAATAAACCATAACATTTTGCTGAGGGAAGTTTGTTGAACATCAGGAAATGTGCTCCGGTGTTTATGTTCTATGAGTTGTGTGCAATAATCTGGGTATGGAAACACATTGAAAAAGTTAATGTGGTACTTGACAAAATATTGGAAAATGGATTAGAAAGAATAGTTCCGTGCAAGGCAGAAGGTGGAGCAAATGCCCTGCTATGCTACTCCAGTTATCCCTTTTTTCTTTCCCCAGTGATTTCAGAAGTCTCCCCAGGCTCAGATAACTCAAAGATAACTCAAACCCTCCCGTAGTCCCAGGTGAGGTAAAGAGGTTGTGTTCATAGAAATGGAAAAAAAGAGGAAGATAGAGGTGGAAAAAAACATAAAGGGAAAGGACAGAAGTCTAAACTTGGGTGTTGCTTCCCCCCAGTACACACGCGAGCAGCAGAGACTCCCAAGAAGAAGATTTTAAAGATTGCCATCTTCTGAAAGGAAAAATATCTGCCATTATTCAGAATCCTAAATCTGATATACATATATTTTTGAAACCATAGCATATTTCCGATAAATTTATTTTTAAATCTGAATTCTTATCTATATAAATCTAATTCAGTCTCATTTCATCAATACATATTCTTTGATCCCAGCTTTAGAAACTGACATAGCATCCTGGATTTTAATAAGACTCTCATCAAGCTTAAAATTAAGAACATGTTAACATTAAGGATTACCAGTAGAGAGATGGACTTTATTCTTGAGCCTGAAAAACAGGGTTTTTTTTTTTATTTTACTGAGCATTAGAAGGCAAACTTAAGGTGTCCAGATGCAAAGAGACTGAACAATGAAAAAAAAAAAAAATTACTACTCTCCTTTTAAACAGCATCAGCGATTATTCTACCTACTTCAGTGAATTAAGTACATCTGTGTCAAACAGAACCTTGTTATTAATTAAAAAACCTGCAGACAGTCCATGGAGCTCGGGAAACACACAGCATTGCTATCAGTTAGCCTCTCTTAGAAATGATTATCTATATTAGAGGAGCTTATGCAGTGACCAGGATTAAAATAACCGCAGAGCTACCGACCGTTCTGCTCAGGGCAGGAAGGGTCAGGGGCCCGCAATAGCAGAGCCCATGTAGGGGACCGTGAACCTGTCGGCTGCATCTGCTGCCTGTGATGTGCTGTCACCCAGAGCCAGCGGTACACATGCATCCCAGCCTCTGGGCTCCGGTGGTGGAAGTCAGGGATGAGATCACATGGACCACTGGTTTCCTCTGTCCCGGCAGAGCAGCAGGGCAGGTGTGCAGGGAATCTGCCTCGCTCCCTGCCGGTGAGTGGTACGAGCCTCCCCTGGCTTGGCACTGGGCAAAGCCTTTGCAGGGAATTCGGGGGGTGTACCTTTGGGATGCTCCTCTCCTTTGCAGTTTGACTCAATGCAGCGCTGCTCCATGCCCTCTAGTGACAGTTCGTTCTAGTGAGAGTTGATATCGTTCTTAATTTTCACTGTGCTGATACCAAATGAGGTGTATCAACACCCTCAGGTATTGTGGGAGCCTTTAAACTTTTAGAACAAAAGCTCAGAGGGGACTTTGGGTGAGTGTGAATCTTTCTGTCTCTCCTTGCTAGCTTTCCAAACTCATCCCATGTGAAACTGCTGGGAGCTGGGATTCCTGGTGAACTTTGCGCCTTGGTAAAGGCTGCCAGTACGAGGCACACTGGCAGTGTTCCCCATGCTCCCATCCTTTGAGTATTGGACTTCTTTCATTCAGCACGGTTTCACATACCTCTGTCACAGTGGTGATGCCATGGTGCCAGTCTGCCACTCAGCAGTGCTTCTGCTAAGGGGCTCCTTTTTGTCATTTAAAATCTCCATTGCCCATGGGGAGAGCTGGGTTGGCAACCCTTCAGGGTCCAAAATCCTCAGTCCTCAGAGCAGACACAGTCGCATAAACTTTCCTCTCCCCATTTTTTTTTCTTCTCCCCTTTCTGCAACTAGCAAGTCTGGCCGGGAAGATGCCCCACGGGTGGGGGGGCTTGTGGCCTTTGTCATTCTGCTGAGACAGTGCACAGGGCAAGGGGTGACCGGACGCCAAGGCTGCTGGTGGTTTCTGAGCTAACGTTACTTGTCGCCTGAAGCATTGGCCAGAGAGCTGCCGGCTTGCTCCATACAAGCTCCCAAACAGCCACCGCATGGAGATGGCTGGGATCTTTCTGTGTTTTATGGAAACTTTCTACTCAGTCAATACAGGTCACCCTTCTGCACTTAATCCCAGCCAGCAGCACCAATCGCTTCCCATATAATCTCCCAGAACAGCTGTGCTGTGATTGCATTGTGGATTACAAAATGACCATTTTCCACAAAACAGCTGTTGGCTGGAGGGATAGCGTTTAATAATCACGGGGAGGGGGGTGAAGGAGAAGGGGAGGAGACAAAGGAGAAAGGGGTTTTGGAGCAATTGGGTTTCTTGAAGGACCTAGAGATGAGCAAAACAACAGGCAAAGCGTGAGTCCCATTTCTGTATTGCTCCTCTGAATTAACAGGACTTCGAGGACTTGCTGCCAAGGTAAATTCAACTCTCTTTCCTTTTGGGGCTATCTAGATACTATGGTCAATACAATTGTCAATAAGGGCTTGGCTTTTATGGAGGGAAACTTTTCTGTCAACGTTCTCATGAAGGAGTAGTTCAGATTTGCTTCTTATTCTCTATGTCCTCTGCATCCTTGATCCAGTTCCTTCTTCTGACTCATTTGTTTCTTATATTCTTTTGTCTTTTTTCTTTTATCACTTTTTCTGAAATTATATGGCCTTTCAGCTACTATCACAATCAACTGGAGACAATATTTGTCCCACTATTGAAGATTTAAATTAGAAAAAATATTTTTGTCGATATTATGAGTGGAAAGATTTTTTTTTAAATAAAAGCATGAGAAAACTGAAACCCGATGACAGAAAATCTTCTAATCAAGCATTGATGAAAAACTGAAAACATTTGTGTGCTAGAAGTTTCTATTTTCCGATGAAAAATGATGTTTTTGAGGAGAGCAATTTTATCTATAATTTCCTTTCCAGTCATAAGCCAAACTTCCCACTGAAAAAACTCTCAGTGAGGAATTTAATTGTTCCTAGTAGGTATCTCCTCTGTGAAAATGGTGATATCCAACATGCCTTCAGATCATGGAAGTCATTAGTTATGGTATCACTAAGATGTTACCATCTCCAGGGTGCAACATCTCTATTGCTGAAAGAAAGAAATGTTCTGGTGAAGAGACAAAAGAAGCCAGAGCACAAAACAATACAGGAATTTTTTGGGACCTGGGTATTTCTTGCCTTTGATGAGAGTGTTCTGGATCAGGCGCTGTTTTCTTAGTGTGATGAGATGCTAATGAAATCCTGCTTTCCAGAAGGAGCTTCAGCACCATCTTTATTGACCACATTTCCGAGCTTGCTGGTTAGCAGAACGAACGCTTCTAATTGTACCACTTTCAGCTGTGGTGCAGTCACAGACAATGCAAAAGCTCAGTCTCATATCGTTTATTTATAGTAGTGTCCACACTGTGCTGGGCCTTTCTCACACGTTCAACGTTGGGTGAGTCAGCCGAAGTTATGTGAAGAGGACCGGCAGCAGGCAATGTCTGTACAAACTGAATCTATTCATGGGCAAATAGATTTTGAGAGTCATAAATAGGAAAGGGTGGGAGTATCTGGATGAAGTTGTGCCAAACATAGGGAGTGCCATGTGGGAAGAGGCATGCGTTGATTACATGAAAGTTGATGTGTGGGTAGATGACATCTAATCAATCCATGGAGTGATAAGTTGGGGTTCTCAGAAGTCAGTGCAGGGTTTTGCAGGAACCGTAAAATCTTGAGCTTCCCTCTGAGTGAGAAAGACCACAGGACCCTGGTACACAAACTGCTTTGTGAATTACGTTTTCCAATGAGATGAAACCGGGAAGATTGTTTGTGGCAATGTTTGCTCTTAAAAAAAATCCCTTTGGCACTTTGTGTGAGAGCAGGGACACTGTCATCCCGCTACCCTACCAAATTGCTGATGTGCAGAGCAGTGCTTGCTCAGGTGGGAGGTGCTGCTCTGGGGCTGGAACTGGAGCTGCCAGGTCTGGATAGCTGGGTGTCCATCCTGAGCAGGCCATTGCTTTGATGTGTGACCTTCAGTGGTCTGGG